TATGTAAAAAAGTTTGCCTGAAGGGACTCTGGGTGCAGAAATAAAGACAACTTACTCAAGTGAAGAAAAGGGGGGTAACAAACTTAGAAGCTTTCTATATTGATGGGATACGTGCACTAATATGAGCAATTAATGTAACATTTCCTTTTCCAAAAACTCATAATAGTTCATCTGATCTTTCTTCTCAAATCCCAGCCTATGGAAGTTTATTTGATTTGAGAATAGTCACTCCAAGTCTAGAAACTCTGGTGAAGTGGTGAAAAGCACAGACTCTGGCTTCAGATTGCCTAAGTCATATCTCAGCTCCATCACATACTTCTGATGTGACTTTAGGCAGTTTACTTCACTTTTCTATGCCTCAGTTTCCTTATCTTTAAGTGGAAATAATAATACAGACAGTCCCCAGGTTACGAACATCCAAGAACATCCAATTTACGTACAACTGAGCATCCAGTTTACGTACAACCGGTAGTTACGAACCAACCCCGTAAAGCCTATTATGTTAAAAATTCGAGGTGCATACATACAATGGTTTGTAATAACAAGCAGCACTACTTTGTGATGTGCATCAAAGCATTATTATTATTATTACTGTGTTATTATGCTAAAGAGGTTTTAGTGTATCTGGAAGTGTTTCTTTAATGTTTTTTATGCATAGAAAGGTACACCATATACTAAGACAAACATTTGACTAACTGACGTTAGATACGAACCGTTCCTAACCTAGTCGTGTGAATGCAACTTAAAGACAGACTTAGGAATGGAACACATTCGTAATCCAGGGACTGCCTGTAGTACCTTTCTCATAGAGTTGTTGGGAGGACTTATTGAGATAATAACCTCCAAAGCACTCAATGGGTTCTCAGTACATATCAGCTATTATAATAGTATTGCTGTTATTTGTGCCCTAGTTGGGAGCCCCATGAAGCTGAAAAGGAACGTCACTCAATCTATACTACCAGTTCTAACTGAGAGCTCATTGAGTGGCCGAAAGCACTTTAGATACATTTATCCACTTCATCTTCATATCAGTCCTGTAAGATTGTCGGGATTAGGAATGGCCCAGCTCGGAGCTACTGCTAGGATCATAGGTGAAGCACAGCCCTTATTGTTGTGCATTTGTCAGCAGGCCTCAGCACCTACACTCTTAAGTGGACAACAAGATGGGCCTTTGTCAACATCTGTTCAAAGGCTCCCTTTAGGGGTGCAGTCTTCCGGGCTGTAGAAATGGATTCATAGCAGTACTTCCATTTTGAAATACCTTTACTTGTTCCAAGTAACCTTCTCCCACACTGACTACCAGAATCAGCTCAGGTTGTTGTCTTAATATTGGCAACACTTAATGCTACTTGTTTGTTCATTTAATTGCTTAAAAATCTCTTGCAAATGTAGACCACACTTGCATTTCTAAAAATAAAAGCAAATATGTTAGCATAAGGTAAGAGAGTGAATTTTTGCTACATTATATATATTTTTTAGTTAAAAGTTTCCTCCACAAAAGAAATGATACTGCAAACATGCATTTAATAGCAAGATCCTGTTAGGTTTCAGATTTCCCTCAAATTTTTTATTTTTTATACATTCTGTCATGAATTGACTGAAGTAAATAATTAGTATGCTATCATAAGCAGATTACCTGCAGAAAATGTTTTACAGTATTTCAGTATCTCATTGTTTATTAAATTCTGAAATATTGAGCAATTTCCAATGTGAAATCTCAGCTGGCTTCTTTGCAGAAATTGACAAGTTGATCCTAAAATTCATTTGGAAATTTAAAGGGCCCAGAATAGATAAAACAATCTTGAAAAGGAAGAACAAATTGGAGGGCTCACACTTCCCAGTTTCACAACTTACCACAAAGCTACAATAAACAAGACAGTATTGATTGTTCTGGCATAAGGATACACATGGAATAGAATTGAAAGTCCCGAAATAAGCCTTTACATTTACAATCAATTGACTTTTGACAAGAGTGCAAAGACCATTCAGTGGGGGAAAGACTGGTCTTTTCAACAAATGGTGCTGGGACAACTGGAAATACACATGTAAAAGAATGAAGTTGGCCCCGTACCTCATGCCATATTCAAAAATTAAAGTGGATCAAAGATCTGAATGTAAGAGCCAAAACTATAAAACTCTTAGAAGAAAATATAGGGATAAATCTTCATGACCTTGGGTTAGGCAGTGGTTTCTCAGATACGGCACCAAAAGTATAAGCAACCAAGGAGAAAAGATAAATTGGACTTGATCAAAATTAAAAACTTTGTGCATCAAGGGACTCCAAGAAAGTGAAAGGACAACTGACAGAGTGGGAGAAAATATTTGCACATCTGATGTCTGATAAGGGACTTATACCCAGGATATATAAAGAACTCTTATAATCCAATAATAAAAAGGCAAATAACTCAATTTAAAAATGGGCAAAGGATCTGAATAGCCATTTCTCCAAAGAAAATATACAAATGACCAATAAGCACATGAAAAGATGCTCAACATCATTAGTCATTAGGGCTATGCAAATCAAAACCACAGTGAGATACCATGTCACACCCACTAGAATGACCATAATCAAAAAGACTGATAATAACAAGTGTTGGTGCAGATGTGGAAAATTGGAACCCTCATACACTGCTGGTAGGAATGTAAAATGGTGCAGCCACTGTGGAAAACAGTGTAGAAGTTCCTCAAAATGTTAAATGTAGAGTTACCATATGACCCAGTAATTCCACTTCTAGGTATACCCAAGAGAAAGGAAAACATACGTCCACACAAAAACTTGTAGATAAATGTTCATAGTAGCATTATTCATAATAGCCCGAAAGTGGGAACAACCCAAATGTCCATCATCTAATGAATGGATAAACAAAATGTGGCCTATGCATACAATGGAATATAATTCAGCCATAAAAAGGAATGAAGTACTGATACATGCTACGACATGGAAGAACCTTGAAAACATTATGCTAAATGAAAGAAGCCAGACACAAAAGACCATGTATTGTATGATTCCATTTATATGAATGTCCAGGATAGGCAAATCTATTGAGACAGAATGTAGATCAGTGGTTGCCAGGGGCTGAGGGAAGGGGACAGATGGGGAGTGATTGCTAATGGATATGGGGTTTCTTCTTGGGATGATGAAAATGTTCAAAAATCGATTGTGGTGATAGTTGCACAGCTCTGTGAACATACTAAAAGCCATTGACTTGTACACTTTAAATGGGTGGATTGTACGGTATGTGGATTTTATCTCAATAAAGCTGTTGCAAAACAAAAATTTCCAACCTGAACAATTATTTGGCGAGCCTTTACCCTTGCTTCACACTGTTTTATTCTCGCCTTTTTTTCTGGACTCTACTCTTCCATCCTGTGTCTGATGTACCAATTGCAGAAGTCCTTAACTCTTAGGCTCTGATAACCCATGTCATGATAAAAGCTTAATCCAGCTTTCCAAATAAGGGTCTCCATTCAGGCATTCTCTCAAATGGATTTGTCCATGTGTCCTAAGGCCAGAGATGGATTTTTTTTTCCCCCACCCTGAAGTGATATGTTTCTATTTGTGAGAAGATTGAAGCTCCCCGGCAGAGAAAGCGTTTTCCAGATTCAAGTATACAGCATGGGATGAGAAAGCTGCTAGGTTGAATGCAAAGTTGTTAGAAGCCCAGAACCACCAGGGAGGAACTGTGGGGCTTGGAGGAGGCTGCCTGTTCACAGAGAAGGTGAATGGAATGTTCAGGATCGTGTTAGTGTGGCTTGGCATTTGAAAACAAAAGTAGCTCAGAGAAATGAGTTGCTAGCAAAAGTCGCACCACAGCCAGGGCAGGCCACTCTTTGGATTCCCCAGTCTCCTTTGGAGGATCCTCAGCCTCTGCTCCCATCCTCTCTCAGCTCCTACATGCCATATACATCTCCTGTCCACCCCCTTTCTTAACAACCTTTCAATCTTCCCAAGAGCTCCCTGCATATTGAGCTACTCCTTGCCAGGCCCATTCCTTCCCAAAGATTTCAAGCTTCAAGAGCTGGCGGGTTTGTATTTTGCAAGGCCAGGGAGCCGAGGTTAGAGGGCTGGGCTCTCCAGGGGAGTAGCCCCATCATCCTCCTTTTCATGAGGTGGGTCCTGACTGCTTCCACGTAGTCGGTTCATGGACCTCCTCCACAAAGTCGGTGATAGTTCCTGGGCCAACTGTTTTCAAAACGTGTTAAGCTTTTTGAAAAATCGTAGCCCAAGATGAAGGAAAATTCCAGTGTGTTCTGGTTATTTGGGATCAGAAAAGATCTACTCCTTAAATACAGGGAAACCTGGCTACTTTCACCTGCATGGCGGCCACAGACCTGGATAATTTGCAGAGTGGAGTTGTATGTGAGGAGAGCGCTAGACTCTTCCCAGCCCCCGGATGCATAGGATGAAGACCAAACCCACCTTCAAGGAGAAAACTCCGCAGTGGAGGCTCTCCTGCCTGGGACGTTTGGACGCGGACAGGCTCTCAGGAAACTGGGACAACTGTGAGATGTGACACGGGCCCCCCCTCCACATACCTCTGCTCTCATCACCCTTGAATCCTTCAACTCTGCGTGCCTGAGGCTATAAAACACGCTTAGGCTGTGATGGAATGAAAATTGAACTGGGAGAAACAGCCAGTTTGCTCCCGTTGTGCGTTCCAAGTGAAGCTTTATGAAACAGTTTGTTCCTGTTTTGAATGTGGTAAAGCAAAAGAATTTTCCAATTCTCAGGGCTGCTTTGTGTCCCGTGGGACCACACCTTTCACAGTGTCACCGAGACAAAAACCAAGAGCAGCAAATTGCCCCTGCTACTTACGCTTTTGTAAGAAAATTGTTTTTAGGGACATTTTCTTTGTTCTGATTTTCTTTGGCCCTGAGTGGGAAATAAATTCATTTTTCTTTTCCTTTCATTGAAATTGGAAACTGTATCTTTTTTAAAAAACCAAATATTCTCTACCCATCTCTGCTTTTAAAGTGCTTGTAAAATACAACCCTGTTCATCACAGTGGTGTGTCAGGGTGTCCTCCCCAGGCCGGCCTTGGGCCCGCCACCCCCTGGCAGGTGCTGAGCTGAGGCAGGCGTTAGGCACACTTGCTGACGCACTCCAGCAGCTCCATCCGGATGGCGATGCGAACGTGCCAGCCCAGCGGGATCAGTCGGATGAAGCGGGAAATGATGGGAGGCCGCAACAGGTTCTGGACTGTGGAGGTGCGGTCTGAATTTCCATAGAAGACCTAAAGGAAGGGAGAAAAGCCTGTCACCACCACATCAGGGGAGGGAAAAGGAAGAGTGATTCCTGTCTGGAGCTGGCCCCAACTCTTAACTCTATGTAAGATCTCAGAAAGTAGTTAAAGCCCAGGGAATTTGCAACCCGTACCCCATGGCCGTCCAGTCAATTCCGACTCATAGTGACCCTATAGGACAGAGTAGAACTGCCCCATAGAGTTTCCAAGGCTGTAAATCTTTACAGAAGCAGACTGCCACATCTTTCTCCCGTGGAGCAGCTGGTGGGTTTGAACCACCGACCTTTTGGTTAGCAGCCGAGCACTTAACCACTGTGCCACCAGGCCTCCTCCAGGGAATTTTCAAGTGCCCCCCAAATCTGTCCTTGAATGGTTGTCAGCACCTACATGTTTGGGGCATTTGAGTCACTATATGGAGATATCTAAAACTGTACCTTCCAGTGTGGTAGCTACTGGCCACATGCAGTTATTTAAATTTAAATGAATTAAAATTAAATAAAAATTCAGCCCCCACCCCCCCGTCACACTAGCTACATTTCAAATGCTCAGTAGTCACATGTGGCTAGTGGCTTCCATATTGGACGGTCCAGATATGGACGTTTCTATCATTCCAGAAAGTTCTATGGGATGGCACTAATAGAAAACAACTCTGGACTTTTATTACTAATTTTGTACTTTTAGTCTGCGTTTGGACAAGAAGCTTTGCAAAGACTCATGTTACACTTGTAAAACAAATGTTCCCGTGTTCAAAAAGTATCCAAAGTGGGGCTCAAGTAAAAACTCTTGAGTTGACTCTGAAGTTGTGAGCCAAAGTTTAAGTGTGTGCCCCTACATCAATACAAATGGCAAGTACTCTTTAGGCTTGGAAAAATGGTTTTAAAAAAAGACATAAAAGTTACAGAGAAGATTCTGGAAGGCAGGGGACAGTGCCCAGAGTCGGGAGAAAAGGTTTTGTTTAGTGTTTTTCTGGATGTAACATAAAATGGTGCAGATGTTGTAGCTAAGGTGCAGTGGATGCTTGAATGTGTTTCCAAAGAAAGCAGTCATTCTTTGTACTTTCCAGAGCCTTCACGCTCTGCCCAGTGACACTGGAACATTTCATTTCCTTCTGGGATTATCTCCTGAAAAAAATCTGGTCACCCCATTGGCCTCCCTCATTCACAAGAACAAGAAGGCCCTTATCAGCCATGACCTTGCCTTTCTTCCCAGTAGCAACTCCTATCCCCCTCTAGGCTGTTTGGCCTTAAGCCCACTCAAATCCAGAGCCAGATGAAGAGGGGAGGATGGAACAGGCTTCTCCAGAATGCACAAGTGCCGAAGTGGAGTGCCTCTCTGCGAACTGTTGAGGCTTTCAGAAACACAGACAGGGCTTGAAAACGAATTCTGGTGGCTTTTTAAAAGCCAACTAATTAAGAACGAAAATGAAGCAAGATGTCCAAGTATCAAGATAGTTTTTCCCGTTGTGTTTAAACTTCTTAAAACTTCCACTCATGTATGCCTTGCTGCACAGCTTGTCATCAGAATCAGAGGCTATAGAGCCGTCTTATTCTCAGCTGCACGTGTCTATTTAACATGACTAAATGTCCAAATTAAAAGTCCTTACGCTTAGGCAAAAGGACAAGTAACATTTCTAAACAAATATTGAGTTTTTAATTTATTTTTATTCGTTGCATATATATATATTATATAATCAAGAGCACACTGTGTTCAGTCCTCAGTGACCAAGACTTCAGTCCCGGCCCACAGAGATTGCTAGGAGATAAAGTTGCCCAAAGGTTTAAGAAGGCTGCATTTAATGTCTAAAGGCTCCTAAACCTGCACCTCTGCATCTGCACTGGTGGGGTCCTTTTAACCGTTCACATAGTTTAGTGGCTAACTTTCTGGGCTGTCAAAAGTTTCCGAGCATTCAGTCTCAATCAATAGGAAGTTGAGGCCATATCTATATAAATGGACTATTACCTACTTGCATCACTAACAGATCAAGGGAGACCCATGAAACAACGTTCAGTGATCCAGTGAGTCTGGAATAGCACAAATGGCTGGTATTGATTATTCAAGCAACTATCTGCTGATATGAGAATTCAAATATTTCTTTTGCACGCAAGAGTAGCATTCATTGCGCTGGGTACCAAGGATACAACAAGGAAAGACGCTTGTCCCCCGCCCCCCCGAGAGCGCACAGTATGGTGGCGAAGAAGCACGGATGACCCACCATGAGGGCAGGAGCCGCAGGTGGTTTGGGATGGAGGCCTGACTTACCCGGTTGTTTCCCGTCTGGTCTTTATAATAAATCCAGTTCAGGCGCTCATCGGTCCTGTACTGCACACTGTACTTGGTCATCCACTCATCGATGTCACAGCGCCCCTGGGTGAGGATCCCCGAAATCACCTTGATCTCCTTCAGATCGATTTGTAACCACTGGCTGCTGTCCTGGAACTTGGAGAGCCAGGCACACCTGCCGGGAACACATCACATCACCAGGAGCCCTTCCCCAGGAAGGCCTCCTCAGGCGCCGTCTTTGGAGGGGGCCCCAGCACCTGACGAGCTGCCAGCAAAGGCCGGCGGTCTGAGCCGCACTCTTATTAGACCCAGAGGCTGTCTCCAAGAGCCTCTGTGATACTTAGCTTGGATCTCATCTCTCCCTGCATCTCCACCTCCCGAAGAGCAAATGCCGGATTCAACTAAGTTGTCAACAGAAAGCTTTTAAGTGTAGCTAAAATCTTTAGGGTATAGGTTGAGCATGTCTTTCTTCACAACACGTGAACCCGTAGTTATTAGACGCACCAGCCCCCTTCCCAACGTCTTCTTCAATTTCACTCTCTTCAGACATACCTGAATCTTCGATGCTGTCATCCTTGCCATTCAGGCAGAGTCTACCAAGGGCAGAACCCTGAATCCAGTGTTTCTGGAAGGGCTTTTGATCATTGAAAAGCAAAATAACCGGTTAAGGAATTCCTGGTTTTTTTTTAGCTATACACCGAAAAACCAAACCCGTTACTGGTCTAGTCTGTTCTGACTCATAGCGACCCTATAGGCCAGAGTAGAACTGCCCCATAGGGTTTCCAAGGAGCGCCTGGTAAATTCTGGAGATCTATGGTTTCCCTTCGTCTTTTTGTTGTTGTTGTTGTTGTTGAGAATTAATTTATCAGGACTCAGTCCTTGGCTGCCATCTCTTCTTATTCCGGACTTGCTCCGTGGGTGACTCCTGACTTTTGACTTCTATCCCAGGACTCTCAGAAAGCTTTCCCTGGTGCTTCAAATGGATGAGCTCTTTCTTCCTTCTTCTCTCCTCCATCACACTCATCACACTTACTAAATAATCAGTTGGGTGGTTATTGGCTTACAGCCCGTCTGTCCCTCTAAACTGTGTGCTTCTTGAAGACAAAGACCTCCGCTGTCTTGTTCACTGCCTGTATCCCCATTACTAGGTGCGTGGAAGGCAGTCAATCAATATGGAAAAAGTAAATGAATTCTGTGCTGTTCATTTATTAGAGAAACCTACTTTTTTAAATCACGTTTAAAAAAAACAATCACCTGAGCTGCCTGGCCTGCTTACCCAAAGCCTTGACTGTTGAGCCGGGCCTTGTTTGCAGTCCAGGAGGAATACCAGCCAACGTACTGCTCTGGGTTGGAGCAGGTGATCTGGTCTGGTGTAACCTCTCCTGATTCGAAACCCAGGGGTTTATGATACGGGCATTCTGGGAAAAGGGAGACAAAAGAACATTAAAACACTCATATATCTCGAACACAAGAAGACTGAATATTCAACAAACACAAGAAGACTGGAATGAAAAGACAAACCATCTTATTTGCACTTTTGAAGCTGGAGACTGTTTTACTTGTCAGCACAGTTCACAATAAAGCTGGGTCTTGAACCTGTTCACTGCTCAGGCAAGAAGAGAGTGGAGATGAAGTCAAGGGCTTGCCCTCGAGCATTACAGCGTTGTGAACACCAGAGGGAGAGGTCCTGCGGCAACCTCGTGAGTGGGGGAATTTTTAGAAACAGTGCACCTCGTTCACAAGCTTAAAGACCTAAAAACCAAGAGGTTTGCAGCAAATATATTCAAATGCCATACATCTTGATTTTCCTCATTAACACGGGATTAGCCATCCTGCATGATGTCATCAGGGCCCCTAACTGGCCTTGGGAAGTGTATGATGCCAGTTATAGGAACAAAACAATGGTGAGAGTCAAGAGGGCCATTTATATATGGAGACTGACTTCCCACTTGTGAATTGCAGTTTTCTCACCAGTCTAATAAAAAAAAGGGGGTGAAATGTGGCTGAGTGAGTGTTGAATAGGAACAGTTGAAAGGAACTGCTTTCTCCAAATAAGAATAGCCAAAGCTGGTTATTATATGCTAATTGCCTGCTGCTGCTCATGTATTTCCTCTCATGCTAAGAGCACTGTTGAATTACCTGGTCAGAGACTCCCAGCTGACAACCCAGTATTCATTCTCTCCTTCTTTTTGACTAAAGAACCCTAATTTTGTTGGGGGCAGCAATGTGGCTAACTAATATACTACATTTCCCGGCCTCCCTTGCAGAGGAGGGTGGCCAAGTGACATGATTTCTGGCCAGTAAGTCATAAGAGGATGTCTGCTGGGGACTTCTGGTCAAGTGTTGGTTGCCCTCTCCTGCTTCCGGTTGCTTAGAACGGTGACCTGATGGCTGGAGCAACGGTCGCCACCTTGCGCCATGGGGGTATGGTCAGGAGAATTCCAGAGCCCTCAGTCCTGCTGTCCTTGAGCAATTCCCTGTCATGTGAGTCAAACAAAACTCCTAATTCAATAAGCCACTCTTTAGGGGGTCTCTTACTTATAGCCAAAGCCAGTTCTAACTGAGTTTCTATAGAAGACAAATAATAAAGCCATACAAAGATATTTTCCTAGTTTTCCGATTGTGAGTGATAAACTCCAAATAAGGTCAATCAGATTGTTTTTCCATGTGTAAATAAGCTTTCGTGTTGAAGAGCTGAACATATTTACTGGGGCATCATCACCTTTCACAGTAAAATGAGTGCCAAAGTCTTTCTGGAGGATAGTTTTTCAAAACTGCATGAAACTTGCAAAAGCTTGAAAGCCATCCCAAGGCTAGAGGGCCTGCAGGGACAGTCATGCCCTGTCCCCAGAGGCTGAAGACAGAAGGACAGCTTCAGACCTCTGGCCAAGGGGGCTTAAACTTATGCCCCAGGGAACCAAAAAAATAGACCCAACTCCACCAGTATCTGCAGCTCATGGGGCTGGCGGTGAGGGGGCAGCATTTGTGACTTATCAAGTACCCAAGACTTTGGGAGCCCATTCAAGTAACGTATCTTCCTGGGAGAGAGAGCAGGGGCGCTTTGGGGGCCACTCACTCAGGCGTTGTGTGGCTGAATCCCTGGGGAAGCTTGTTGAGAAAACCATTTCCAGGAGTCCATCCCCAGAGTGGCTGCATTTTTAACAAGCACTCTTTCAAAGCATACTTTGAAAACGTTGGCCCGGCAGGGAAGGCGTTTTGCTGGCTGGCGGATTCAGAGGGCCTGGTGCCTGTGGACTTGGCAACTCCCTCACCTCCCCAAGTCGCCTCCAGCCTGGAAGACAAGCCCGAGCAACCATAAGGAGGTATCAGAAAGCTGGCTTTCAGCGGGACCTTGGTCGTTTAACTTCAGTTTTCTAATCTGTAAATTCTAAATGTGGATGTCTCCAAGGCCTCCTCCAGCTCTAGCTTGTGATGACAAACCTCTTTTTTTTTTTTTTTGTTTTTGTTCTATGGCCACCAGCTGTGAGAGAGCGGCAGAAGGGAAGGGAAGGGAAGGAAAAGCGGGTCACCACCACTCCCAGTCACTTGATTCTTATTTCGCTTGCTCTCCCTCCCGTTTTCCCCTCATCTCTTTTCAGTCTCTTCCCAGTGAGCCCATCTAGCAGTTTAGAGTGGGCTGTAAACCTGCAGAGACCCACTCAGTGGCAATGGCCTGGGAGGCATGTGAGGGCTTGTCCAGGTGGCCGAGAATCTGTGGTTCAGTGCATTCTAAAGACCCGCTTGTTCGGACGTGGAGCCTGCACATACTCTCCAGGGGAGGCCATGAGCTCATCGTCCCCATGGCTGCGGCCAGCAGCCAGCGGCCAGGAACCCAGGCCTGATTCTCAGGCCCCAGACCTCATCCCACTGACCCCTAAGTATTTCCAGGTGCATATTTCCACTTGGATGGTCCCATCTGTCCCAAACTGAGCCCTTCATCACGTGACCCCATGCCGGCTCCCTGCCCACTGCTTCGGCTCTCAGGCTGCCTAAGCCACAAACCTGGTGTTTGGCCCAGGTTACAAAGTAGAGGCTTGACATGGCTGAGTCTCAGCCTTGGCTGCAGCCCCAGAGATTCTGATTTAATTCATCTGGAGCATGGCCTGGGCATCAGGAGAGAGCTGCAGGTGATTGCGATGAGCAGCCAAGGTCAAGAACTACTGCTTAGCGCCAGTGAGCTTCGGGGTGAGCTTTGGGGAGAGCTTGGGCGAGCTACTTAACCTCTCGAAGTCTCAGTTTCCTCATCTGTGAAATGGGCATGACAGTAGTTCCTGCCTCCATAAAGCTTCTATGGGATGAAATGAATAGTGTTTGCAGAGTGCTTAGCACTGTGCCTGGCCAAGAAGCAGCAGTTAATATTGGTGTCAGAGGGTGACTTCGCGAGGAGATACTGATGACTTCCTGAGTTTCGCATGTTCGTTTTTCTGGTGAGGACTCACTAGAAACCCAACACCCCCCTGCCTTTCTCTGGCCTGTCCCCGTTCCCCGCCATATCCTCCCAAGAAGTCCAGCCTCCTGATTCTGAAGGTTTGGGCTCTGTTTGCCCCAAGAAGGAATAAACTGTGTGGTAGAGGCCTGAGCTCAGCCGGAAGTGGTTCCCCTGAGGGAGCTGGAGCATGGATGGGGCCTGGGAGCCCTGAGCAGTGGGTTCCCTCAGGAAATGGGCAGAGAGAGGAGCCACCAATGAGATGGCCGTCTTCAAGCGGCACTATGAGCCCCGGGGAGCCTGCCTCCAGAGCCCTTGAAAGCCCGTGGGGGGGTTCATGTGGCCCAAAGGGAAGAGGAAGGAACTCCAAAAATCCTTAGACTCGTCACAGGCCATGACAAGGGGGAACTCAAACTGGATGTATTTTGATTTAGAAAAGCAGCAAACATGACATTTCTAGCACGCTGCATTCTGTGGAGTAAACTGTGTTCCAGTTATATTTTTCTCATTTTCCGGACGCCTTCTCCTTCCACGGTCAATTTACCTCCAGATCGTGTTTCGTCATCTGCTAAATACTCTTGAGCTCCTGTAGGCCTTTCTGCCTTCTTACCTCCCCCACCCAGAACACTCTCCTTTCCAGATTTCTGAAGGCCACCTGGTAGTCGTCCCAACTCTATTTTCCATGCCTGAGCCAGAGGATTTTCCGAAGCTATTTTCCCTGCTCCAGGCCCTTCAGCGGTGACCCACTGCCCTCAAGATGTAAAGTGCAAACTAACAAGGCCTACAAGGCCCCTCAGAGCCTGATCCATCTCCTGACTCGTCTCCTCAGGAACTGGGCGCTCCTGCCGTTCTCATGGGACCTAGAGGCCTTCCCTTGAGGCTGTTTCCTGACTTGCTGTTCCCTCTGCCTGTGACATTCTGTCCCTTCCCTTCGCCCTCCCCTCGTCAACTCCACTCATCCTTCAGATCTCTGCCTACTTCCCCTGCCCACCCTGAGCTGGGTATGGGTCTCCAGGGGCCCCCTCCAAGGCACCCTGTACTTACTTAGCACTTAGCACTCCTTATTGTGAGTGTGTCATTGCCAGCTTCCCTTGGCTGTCTTGCTTACCAGTCTCTCCTGAGTGGATGTTGATTGGGTAGATGAAGGAAGGAAGGAATAAACAAACAAATCGCCCCACCTTGGGTGGCCACTTCAGATAAGCAGAGATGATGGCAGAAACAGGAATCAGAGAGCTCAGGGAGGAAGTAGAGGTTGACTGTGACCCACAGTTCTCCCTGTGGCCTAATCAAAGCCAAACTGTCAATTGAGTACAAAGTAGAAAGCAACATAATGATGTTGAAGGAATTAAGATCTTTCTCAGACTCCCGTTTTCTGCCCAGTGGAATTTTGTTATTATAGCGATGATACCTGTTTTCTATACTCATTTTACTCATAAGGAAAAGCCTGCATCTTTTGTGGTACAAATGGCTCTTCTGAGCAATGATTTTATAATTAGATGGATAAAGGCGTGTTCGTAAGGTGCTTCAAATCAGGCTATGTATGTTTAACATACTAGCCATTTTTTTCAGTAGATAATTTCTGAGTTTGTAGGCCTGAAGGCCACACACGCTTATGAAGAATATTAACCTTAAAAAACACAAAGAGTTCAGGGGCATTCTTGAATATATATATATAT